GCTATGGTGTCGGACATGTTTTAGGTAGGCTTAGGCGATGGAACAAGGGAATCGTGAAGGCAATTGCCCTTTGGTATACCTATGGTGTGGACGAAAGGAAAGGATCATTTAACATATTGCAACTTTTGCATGACGAAATTACTCGGTAATAAATGTCGACAGACTTTATTTTATTTTTTAGAGGCAGAGGGGTGTCAAGGTCGCTGGGACATCAATACCACAGCTGACTCTTGTTGGTGTCTGAAAAGAAATAAACCTGGAGGCAGACATAAACGGAAGGCGCTTAAGTAATCAATTCTTTAAAACACATTGTCTTGAGTAAAAAAACACTTTAAAATTTAATAAAGGAATGGTGAAATAGCTACATTTATTTCGATCATTCACATTTAATACTCACGAGGGACGCACACAGAAAGAAAGTACCAATTTATACCAAACTATTTATAACATACCAAAGGAAGTACCAGAAAGGGGGGATCAATGTTTTGCACATTATAAGTGTTTTTTTAAAACATAATTTTCTATTAACAAAAGTTACTCTGGTACTATCGTGTGTTTAATTCACTGAATAGTTACCTTCAAAAAATCAGCTGTTGTTTTCTGTCTGTTATGAAGTTATTGACCCTCTATAAACAGAAAATGTCCTAATGGTAAAAACAGTATGCGAAGTAGGTATAGAGGGTCCATAGCACAGAAAGTGGACGTGGCTGAGGAAAGTAATATTATTTTCGAGTTTAGCGTGGTCTATTCGTATAAAAACTGTTGAGAAAAATTAATCGTAAATCTTTTTTAAAACGCAGGCCATTGTTATCATACTGCGCTGACTGAGTTCTCATGGTGCGTTACTGCTTACGCTACAGCTGTCGTCAAATGCGAGGCGCCAACCAAGAAGCCGCAGCATTTAATATTTTCTATTTACGTTGCGTTGTGGTCATCAATAACTCTAGTTCTATACTCGTAAATACCAAGATACTATGCATTATTCGTGAAGACGTTTGGCTAAAATGTCTATCAGTCACGTGCGTCTTTAATCCATGTTAACATGCAACCTTATAGGTTTGTTAAGTGGACTTGTACCTTCGTCTATGTTAAGAAATTTAACATCCTTAGCAACGGGTTTTAACATTCGTAGAAAGTAAATAAGCAACCATCGATTCATCGCAAGTCAAATGTTTATTAAGAAAAAATACATGATGTTCAAAACAAACTACATTCAAGCAATTCAGAATAAAAATAACTCATATGCATTTGGGGAATAATTATTGTTAATTGTAATATTATTAATAGTACAATTAAAAATGTATATTAGGTAAATTAACCTCGTTTCATGATATTCCACAAAATGACACTTTTTTTCCGATAATCATATTTACTGACGATCTGAAGGTGTTGCCAATGGAAGTCGACGCGCCAACTTCCTCACCGAACATAATTTCTTTAGGTCTCTTGAGGTTCAGAAGAATTATTTGCTTCCACCTTTTCTCGAACAACGGTATACGAATATTGTTTGAATAGATACATCGCAAGCGACACCGGGCAATACCGTAGAAACGTCCCGCAGAAACAAAATTCATTTGCTTACTATCGCAGTAATGTCGTAAATTTTCGCATAAATTGTGAGATTTTATGGTAACCTATAAAATGTTGAACATACAACAGAACGTACTAGTGTTATTACTGCCTCGTCCAAATTAAAAACGTCGCCAAAGTGAATCCTGTGCCATTACAGCCTCCTTTGTTCTATCTGTGGGAAAAATAGAAAACATTTGGAGCGTTTTTTGAGAAAATGCTTTTTTTGTATAACTTGCAATACCTTCAAGGTGAAATAGCGGTAAAACGACTTCTTTTTACCAAAAATATGTGTATGACCTTTCTTATAGATCTAATTTTTAGAACATATTTTATTTAAGACAAAAATCTGTATCTTGATTCAGATCTTTAGAGTTAACATGCCAATCACGTTACTCTACATCACCAGTAACATAGTAGCCCTGAACCTTCACGATGCTCAAGAATATTTTTTAAAAAAATGACGCAGGCCCAATTTTCGTTGAAATCTCTATATTTTCGAAAATTGCAACAGTTAAAATTTGTATCGCTATCTTCCTACATTTATGATATTGAGGAGAAATATTTTTCCAAATCACGTGTGTTCTTTGAAACTATCGTGAAGTAATGTTATTGAAAATCTCCGAATTTTTGAAAACTGCGTATGAAATTGTTCAAACTTGTGTTTAATGTGTCGGGAATATTGTTTCGTTGTGAGGTTTGTGGTGTAGAGGGGTAACGTAAATGGCGTGTTAAATCTAGTAAGATTATCAGATCCAAGCCATCATGGTATGAACATTTTTTGCTGTTTATAAACACTTTTGCAAATTCAAGTGGTATTATAATATTGGGTAGCCGTTACAAATAATGAGAAAAAGTGTGTGCTCTTGTATCATCACTAGTTTTTTTATTAATTCACCATTTCCATTTTGCAGATTATATTACATAATTTAGAGGATGATTTGAATATATGTTAATTCTGCAAATCTTTATTCAATCAAAAAAGTTGTTGTTGTTGTTATTATTGGTGGTGGTGGTGGTGGTGGTCTGATCAGAAACAGAAATAATTTCAAGGTAGGGAACAATTTCATTTCGAAACCCATTATGAATTCTTTTGAGAAGTAGTGGAAACCATACTTTCTTGCATTATTTCTAAAGTTTGAAATTTTCGGAAATTCAGAGAGTTCAACGAAAATGTCCTCTTCTCTATCCCTACAAAAGAGTAGAGGTGCTACAACTATACATACTTTGTCATATTTTTTTTAGTTTTTCACACATTTAGAGTGTGTAACAAAAATGATACCGAGCCATTGTTGTAATTTATTTCTTTGATATCTGAAAAAAAAAATAAAGAACAAATTTCCAGCGATTTTTCAGAAAATGTTTTTTAAATAAATTGCATAAAATTCAAGCATAAATTACGCAATAAAGACTGGTTTTAACAAAAACTTATACATGGCCTTTTAAAGCTGATTTTTGGTACAGTTTTATTTCAGCCGAAAATCTCTGTTTTCATTTTTTAGGTAAAATTTTGCGATTTTTAAAATACAGAGAGTTTTTCTGATATGAGGCAAGCGCCGTTTTTTCGTCCTTTGATACATACGCGGAGAAAATTTAAAGATAAACAATTGGCGCCGTTTTTTGAGAAAAAACTTCACGCAAAAATATTTCATACAAAATTACGGGAAAACTATTAATATTTTTGAAAATTGTTCATGACCTTTTTCAAGATTTGTCTTTAGAGAACACCAATGCGGAAAATGTCTCTATCTTGAATATTGAAGTAGTTGAAGAAAAAAAATATTGATATTTTTCAACGTTCAAAAATTAATGATTTCAAATAAAGTGAGAACCTCTTAAACGTTCTTTACGTTATCTGATAACAAAGTTAAATCACAAGATTTGGGGCAATTTTTGAGAATATTTTGAAAATATTTCTGAGGCTTCATGTAAAGTACCCTCAAAGACCAAAATACTCCTTTCAAACTCATTTACCTTTGAGTTTATTTAAATCGGTCGGGGTATGTCAATTTTGGAGAGAATTGGCTGAACGGTTTAGGCGCCTGCGTTGACAGACGGACGCTCAGTGTGACTGACTTTTTCCCGTCAGTCGATTTTTCGGTAACATGGATTCCTATTTCACAATTAGAGGAATGGGATTCCTATTACACTGAGGAAGTAATTTACTATGCACAGAAACATGATTTATCCACTTTTTTGTTACTTGAGCCCGGTAACTAGAGATTTTCTGTTGAAAATTCTCTGTTTCCCGGCGTACGATTACAGTACTTTCTTTTGTTACGAAGTAGGAAAGCTAGGAAGCAAAAATTAAAGCTGTTTTTGAGATTTCTTTAGTTGCATAAACTCTACAGAAATAAAATTTATTTATAAACTGCAAGAATAATGAATATTGCACTTTGGTAATGTTATTTTTTGCAGTTTTTGAAAATACATATAGTTGGCCGAAAATGGGGCTTGAACCACTTTCTCTACCGTCCCTTGCATCATCCGAGGGTGAAAATGAACCTGTTTGAGAAAATAATAGTTTGAAAATTTATGTACAATTATGCAAAACTACTCATATTTTCGAAAACTTGTGCATGACCTTACTGCAAATCTGTATTTAAGAAACAGATTTTATTAAGAAAATTCCCTATCTTGAATATTGTAGTTGTTGGAAGATGTCGAAAGAAATTGATCTTAAACAAATTTTCGAAAATTCGGACATATTAACGGAAATGTGATCTGAGTTTTTTAAAGTTTTCTTTACGATCCGAGTCCGAATTTAATAAAAAATTGCAGCCATTTTGATGAAAATTTTGAACGTATTGAAAATTAATATAAATACCCCCCCAAATCAAATTATCTGTTTCCAACTCGCAGGACTCCAAGATCGTTTAGATCGACCGAGCAATATGGTTTTTGGGAAAATCGTCTGAACGGTTTATGGGATAACGTTGACGGGAGACGAACAGACTGACGGAAAGACGAACAGGTGAGCAGACGGACAGACGCGTTTTGCGCCAATCGATTTTATAATACCAAGGACCATCAAACCGTTGATTCTGACTACACAACGTTTTAGAGGAAGTAATCGACTACATATAGGAACAAGATATTTTCACCTTCAATTCTAGCATTACAATACTCTCTTTAATACGTAAATAAGGAGAAAGAGAGTAAATTAAAACATTGAAAAATTATTTTTTTGTGATGTGCCGTTATCTCGGGGTTAAGAGGAGTAAGTCGATGGAATGTCGTGGATTAAGAATGTAATAAATTCTTACAAACAATTTGGTTGAATTACAAAACAATATTTAATTTTGGAGGCCATGCTTCTTTCATGGCTCCGCTGGTGATGGTGAAATTGTGTGTTCGGTGTTAAATATATGTATATCCAGAGTCAACTGTTTAAGGTGGAGGCGTAATTAAAAATGTTTCTTTTCTTTCAGATATTGAAGATGATGACTTTAAATGCATAAATATTTAAAATAATTAATTGTGAAAGGAGACAAAATGAAGAACTGGAAAAGTGACAGATCGTCCCTTCGATGCCTCCTGTTTTGCTTCTTTGGAGGTAAGTGCTTGTCGAATGTAGAAGAGACAGAAAATTCTTTAAATAAATGAAGTCGTTTCACATTTCAAATAATATAAAATAGTTGTTTGAATGGCGCTTATGAAAATATCTTTACGAAAAGTACGGGTACTAAATTTTTAAATGTCTTGACGTTAAAAATTCATTATTTTGCTGTATGTCAACGCAAACTTTTATTTCTTTCACCACCAAATTGAAAGTGGTTTTCAGTCTCAAATCTGTGGAATATATTATTCTCTGTAGCTTTTCAAATCTCAGGCTTTGTATGTACAACCTTATATATTTAAGTTTGATCAAATTTTTCTTCAGTTTACGCGCTCATTAAAGATTTCACATATCATCCAACTTCACAGACAATAATTTAAATGATAATTGTTGTGACCAATTATGTCTATTGTTCTGGGTAATATGAACTTCGAATTATAATTTTGAACTGTCTCAAATTATAAAATACATTGTACACTGAAGAGCTCACATGAGAACGAAGAAATAAAATTTCCCATGGCCTAGTATTTGCTGTGGGTATATCCGTATGTACGCCTTCTATCTGGCAAATGAAGAACTAGCTCAATGATAAATTGAAGGAACACTGAATATCCTATCCAAGGAACAAACATGAAAAATACTCACGAGAGGGATCTATGATAAGTGCAGAAGTTTACTAGAGCTTTCTAGATTAACTAAAGCAAGAAAACAGGTAACGAATTTGCGAATCACCTGGATAGCCTGCGACTCTTTGCCGTCCAGATGGCTTGAAAGTGTGTATTTCGTGTTTCCGGGCGCGTGAATGGCTGTGGTTATTAGTTCCGAAAATGTAGTGCATGTATTTATTACGGGAGGTGGTGATGTCGTTCCCCCGCTGAATGGTGAGATCCGGCGCCTACCTAGTACATCGACTAGCGGGTTTTCACCCAACCAGGTATCTCCCACGAGCGGGGCACCACCCTAGCCGCAACAAATTCTAAGTTCTCGACATGTATGGTAGTGTAGTGCATGTAATTGCAAGGATGTGCTAGTAAGGTGTAAGGGTAAGTTTGGGATGATGAAGGAAAGATCGCGCGCGGCCAATGGTCCGTTTGTTAGAGTACTACTCGTGCATTCCCTTGGTGTTCATCGGAGAAAGCACGGAAAACTACCGATCACAGTAGCCGGCTGTTTATAGGCAGCGGCTGTATTCGTCCTAGCTATTTAGCAAGTGTCGAAAATCCTGCTACTGTCGGGATTAGTATTGCGACATCGATAGCAAAACTTCGATGTTAGCAAACATCGATGTTCAAAATTAAAACGTGATGTTAAAAATACGTCGACTAAAAACAATCTGTTTGTTTTTCAACATCGATATTTTGGCTGGATTAGTAACCTTAACATTAAATACGTGTGCATTAAAATTTAATTTGACAGTGTTCGTTTTTATCAATTCGCCGAATGAGGGTACGAGAGGACGGGACAGACCTTACGCCCACAGCGCTTTTGTTGACCTTATCTCAATGTGCGAAATGAATATGAAGAAAGAGGAAATACATGGGCATGGAGGTCATCTCGGACGAGAGAGCTTGGTCGACAAAGGTACTGCAAACAGCGATCCTTTGGTTTCAACACGTGAATAACAGTGTTACTATCAGTTATTTCGTATTTTAACTTTTACAGAATTGTGATCATGGCAATTTTCAAAAACAAAACTTTGGAAAAGAAAAAACATCGATCACAAAACATCGATGTTAAAAAATAGGTGTTAGTACATCGGTTTAAAACATCGATTCTACAAAAACATCGACGTCTCATCCATTGTCGGGACTCGAACCCTTGTACCTCCCCGTCAAAGGCACCGCAGTGACATCAGTTAATGCCCTGAGCCACCTCAGCAAGTAGACGTTAATAATAAAATCAAGAAATTTATGAAGATATTATGTGGTTCAGGAAGACGTGCGTTGCAGTAATGTTTCAATGGGTGTGTTCCCTCGGAAATGCAAAGTTCTCTCGGAAATGTCTGAATGTCTCGAGGAAACAAGGAGATTCTCTCTCACAGGTTTCAAGGAGACTCGCTCTCTCCGTTGCTTTTCGACGCAGCATTGACACTACTCACAGCAGCCCTCCCAGATCCTGTACATTAATGTTGTCCAGATATACGGAAAGGCTAAATACTCGCACAGTACGACCGTTTAATTGATTAATTATTTAGTCGTTTTTCAGGGCGAGACAACTATTTGGGTTATTAGTCCCGAAGGGTAGTGTGTGTTATGTCCTGTAAGGAGTCGATGTTCCTCCAGTGGTACGTACGATCCGGCGCAAAACTATCGGTTTGCGGGAGTTTCTCTCCAGGTATTTCCCTCCAGCAGACGATACCTCCTCCTCTGCCGCTAGAGGCTTAAAGTCTCCGACTGAACTCCGGCATGTAGTGAAGTGCATGTATGTGTATGGGAGAGGACCGGACAATGGTGACAAAAAGAACACACGGCCCGTTTGTTAAGGGACTACCCCGGCATTTGCCTGGTCCTGGTCGGAGAAACCTCGGAAAACTGCCCACGAAAACTGCCGGTCGTTAGAGCTAGCATTCTCACCAACCACTGGTTCCACTGCGAAGAGACTTTTCTGGCCCACTGTATAATAATATGTAGTCAGTCGTCAAGATGACCCAATAATGAGGCTAGTCATTAAATCTGACCGAAGAATAGGAGAAAGAAACGTAAGTGTAGCAACAGCATTGCAAACAAAACTATACGCAGAATAACACAGACTCTGAACTTCTGATGCTACTTGCAATGAAATGTGAGACACAAAAAATGTTAAAGAGATCGAGGAGAGACAAACCTCTCCATGGACAATATCTGAAAAGAATGGATAAGATGCAGATCAATAAAGACCAATCATTTATGTTGCTTAAAAGGGGAAAATTGAAGTCGGAAACGGAAGCAATTGTAATAGCTGCCCAAGATCGGGCGTTGAGAACGCCTGATGACAAAGCGGTTTTCAAAATACCCCAAAATGATAAATGTCGCATTTGTCAGGAACAAGTAGAAACCATTTATCATATCGTCTCAGCTTGTCCAATTCTAGCAAAGATCGAGCAGTGTATGTAGTTACTATCACTGGCAGAACTGTACCGTTCTCAAAGTTGTACTCGTTCTCGAATACATGCTCCAAGTGGTACGAACACTCACTAAAACCGGTGACGTCTGTTGGGCTGTGTACAGTATTGTACGACCAACAAATTCAAACTGATCCCACGATAGCGGCAAACAAACTGGATACTGTTACCCGGAATTTGGAGAAAAAAATCGTGTGTTGGTGTAGATCTTGTTGTGTCGTACGATCAAAACCTCGTAACTAAGGAGGCAGAGAAAAAATGTCTCAAATACGGGTTGGATCTCGAGATTAGACGAATGTGAAGTGTAAACGCACAGGTCGTCCCGATAGTTATCGTAGATCTGGGATTTGTTCCGTCTAAGAACTTGGCTGATTTCCTAGGTCATTCAAATGACTGAGAAGTGCAAGATACTGCTTACTGGGAACAGCCCACATTTTGTGCTAAGTATTGTAGAGGCTAGAGGCGATAGTTCCAAGGGGCTTTTGCCTGGGTGCTCGAATTTTGTCTTTGGTTTTGAGGCTGAAAACATGTTCTGGACATGACCTGTTTGGTGTGAATCCTGCTTGATATTCCGCCAATTTGGGTTCTAATTACTCTTATGTTCCCTTCAAGAGTCACACCGATAGAATTTTGTGTATGACTGGTAGGAAGGTTCCTCTGTAATTGTTTACATCTGATTTGTTGCCTTTTTTGTGTAATGGGTGGATTAGAGCTATCTTCTAATCATCCGGGATTTTCTCGGTTTGCTGAACGTTTTGGATTATTTCTATAATTTCTTTGACTAAATTTGGGCCTAAATGTTTTAAGAGTCCATCTACAATCCCTTCTTCCCCTGATGGTTCCTAATTTTTAAGTTCTTTGATGTGTGAATAGATTTAGTCTGGTGTTGGTGGTCAGAAGTTTTCTAGCTTCATTTCTGATATAATTTTTCTCTTTGAGTTGGAGACAATTTAGAAGCTATGAAAAATAAGTGTCGAGTTCTTGGCAATTTTCTTTATTTGTCGAGGCTAGTTTTCCATTTTGTTTTCGAAAGCATAGGTTCTGTGATGAGTACCCTTTGGTTTGGTTTGCAATAGTCTTGAAAAAATCATAGGTGTTGTAATTTTTAAAGTTGTTTTCGATTGTCTTCAGTTAGCCATTGACATGTCTTATCTTTATTTGTCTTGACGTTTTGACATGAAAAGTTTCTCCTGTTTCTTCTGATTTCTTGCAATTGTAATTTTGAAACGCCCTTTTTCTTTTTTCTAGTGCACTCTCACATTCTTGATTGCACCAAGGAGGTTTTGGTTTTTTGTGAAGCGCGACAGTTCTTTCGCTGTTTTAATGATTTTGGTTCAAAATTTCTGCCAATCTTCTGAAGGTTGTTCCTCTAATTTTTCTGTGATTCTGGAGTCTTTGATTTTGCGTAGATGGAATTTTGGGATCACTGGTGTTTTCCTAATAAATTATCTTTTGAATATGAATTTAATTTTGATTCTGGTTAAATAGTGATCTGAATCGATATTGGCAGCTCTGCCTACTTGCACATCGTGGATTTCTTTTTGGTTGTCGTACGATATTGGGACATGATCAATCTGAAATTCCCCGAAATGATGGATGGGTGATCGCCGGGTTTTTGTTTTTTGGACTTTTTGCGAAGTGAGGTTGAAATAATTTTGTAGTTATTTCGTTGACATTGCTCGACGAGTCAAATGCCATTTTTTGGTGTACTTATTTGCGGGATAGTCTCCCTCTGTTTTCCTGTACCTGTATTCTTAGCCAATTCGCGCATTGAAGTTGCCAAGTAGAATTTTCACATCATCTATCGGAATTTTGGCTATTTCTAATTCAAGTTCTTCCCCGAATTTTTCTGTTTTATCGGGCTCTTTTTATTGTCATTACTTGTTGGTCCGTGTACGTTGATGAAGATGTAGTTTTTGTTTGTGTGTTTGATCCTCATAGTTATAAGTCGAGTATTGATAGATTTTACATATTTTACTTATTCTAAAATAATTTTGTATTTTAAGAAAAGCCATGCCAAACAGTGCTGCTTCTTTGCCAACTCTCTTATTCGTTTCAACTTTAAAGATTCTTTAGTTATTGTAGTCTGCCGTTTCTGAATCTGTGAAGCGCGTTTCTCGCAGAGCGAGTATTTGGAATTTTTGCTTCGTGAGTTCTGTTATGAGATTGTGCAGTTTTCCTGTTTGCATAAGTGTCTGAATGTTCAAAGTGCCAAAGTAAATGTGTTTCCCGTGGAAGTTCACCAGAGCATTCCGACTCGCTCTCTCGTATCTAACTACTGGTGCTCAAAAACACATAGTTACTCGCATTATTTGTAACCTATAGTTTCCCATGATTCAGAAAGTTAAATTAATATGTGACAGCATTGGTAGCCGTATTGATTAAATCACGCTCGGCGAAGTCACTGGGGTTAAGCAACTCGAGATACCGCGAGTTCCAGGATGGGTGACCGTCTGGGATCTAACGATGCAAATTTTATGTATTAAATTAATTAATTACTTATTTGAAATGTAGTGTGCAATAGATGGTAAAGGGCAAGACAAATATTTAATAAGCTTCATTCCTCTTCAATGAATGTGCATGGAGGTTTGTTTCTGAAATCTTCACTAAATACATACTACACTTCTTCATTTGTTTTGTGATAATATAATATTTTAATAAATGAGCCGGAGGTACTTTGTTGTTTTTGATTGGAACAGGATGATAACAAAAGAGTTCTTCAATATGAGTGCCTGTATTAAATTAATTACCTCAATAAGGTTACCAGGTGAAATTATAGTAGACAATTACTTGAAGATATCAACCTCTAAAACAAAAACAATGGCATTCCGGGGGAAAAACCATATCAGATGTAAAGTAGTGATAAACGAAAAAAGTATTGAACAAGAAAACAACTTTAATTATTTAGGATTGAACATCTCATACTGCGACAAAAAAGATATAAACATAAAGATCCAAAAATTCCAGAAATTGTGCGGTACTATACGCAGAGCACTAAGACAAAAGACCAGACAAGACACCCAACTAAAATTTTACAAAACTATGGCAGTCCCAATGCTAACTTATGGATGCGAAAACTGAACAGTCAATAGATCAGACAAAAGAAATATTGAAGCGGCAGAAATGAGATTCCTGAGACCATTAGCAGGATATACACCACTAGATCACAAGAGAAATGAAGACATCAGAGGTGAACTACAGATCTCCAGCATACTGGAGAAGATCGACTCAATGAGGAAGAATTGGCTCGAACACCTAACCAGAATGCCACGAGAACGGCTTCCCAAGACTATCCTCGAATACAAACCAAAGGGGAAACGATCCAGAGGCAGACCCCACACAAGATGGAAAGAGACTCTTGAGAGCGGAACGGGCCACTAGGCCCAAACCTTGTTGCTGATGATGATGATGAATTATGCCATGTGTTATAATTTCTAAATGTAGAGAGATTTTATTCTTCATTCATGATGTTTTTTGATCAGGTGTAATCAAATCTTCAGTTACAAGGTTCTATAATTTACACCAGGAGATAGAGCTGATCATGAGAGGCAGGGTGGGGTGTCAAAGAAGAAGCGGAAGAAGCAGCAGAAGAAGAAGAAAAAGAAGTTGAAAAGGAGAAGCAAAAAAAGAAGAAAGATAAAAAAGGAAACAAAAATACAACAATGGTTTGAGTGTGATATAGCGTTATATCAATACAAAAAGCTACAAAGGTGTTTTTATATTTTTATCAAGTTAAAGTGAAATAATAATAGCATTCTTTTAAAACACACTTACTAATAAAAATTTTTAAATTAAAAGACGAAACTTTTATATGAATTTGAACAACAAAATTTTTCAATATGAGATGGAAAACCAGTTAATAAAAGAACAATCTACAAATTAAAATGAATAATGTTGTTTCAATCCTTCCTCTAAAGTTGCATGTGTTTGTTGACTACATTCATTGCTATAAAAATAAATAAAAAATTAATTCAGGTACAATTTCTTATTGTCGTTATTTCATTTCAGTATTATGTGAAGTAATATTTTTATTTTTTTTCAGGGGTTGGATGTCTTTTCCCTTATTTGCCCTTGCATATGCAAAAAGTGGGACTAACAGAAAATGAGCCATATGTTGTGTCTATTGTTGCACCTTTGGTGGCGGCACTGGGCCCCTTATTTGTGTGCCCTTTAGCAGACAGAATTGGAGGTGCAGGAGGTCGTTCAATGAGGATCTTACTGGCTATTGTCATCTTACTCTCAGCTATATGTTACCCTCTCTTAATGTGTATACCACATGTTTTGAAAGGAAGAGGGGACCTTGGAATGAATTTCATCTGTGATGCTGATCATTCAGAAATTTGGCAAACATGTTCTGAGAGTGATGGATGCAATGCCTGGCCGCAAACAAATGTAAGCATTTCACTATTTTAGTGTTTTTTGTTAAAATCATTTTGTGAAAATTAATAATGATAAAATTTTAATTCTACTATAATACTGGAAGCCTGATCAGTATTTAGTTTAATGAAATAAATTTATTGCTTTACTTGTGCTAATGAGAAATAGATAGAATACAAAAAGCAAACAAATAATGATTTTCAATTTAAGGAGAAGGAATTTATAATTGACTTTGTTCACAATTGTCTTTGTCTTTTTTTTATGCAGGCATTTGTGCTTCACAGTTGTCGATATAATTGTATGTCAGAGAAAGTGCCACTAACTGGAGAACTAGAAACAACTGTAATGTCTACAACTGTTGATGACGACGACATTCTGATTTCTGAAGTTACTCTGAAACCCCTTAATGTGGTAATTTTTTGTTGTTGTGAGTATATAGGAGTGCACTATATTTGAAACTAAAACTTGTTTTGTTTTTGATAAATTAGGATTCTTCAAAAGGAGGGAATGATGATGACACTACGACTGTTGAGGATGATGATTTCGGATTTGAGGATAAAAGAAGAAAGCGAGACACTTACATTACTGATGATAGCACTATGAACATATGCTTTAAGTATCAAGACAATTCTAAAAATTGTCATATGTATTCCAAACACAGTAATGGGATATTAATTTCGGGAATTTTGTCAAAGGCGACTGAAAACAGTGATTATTGTAGAAATGGCTGCAAATATACTGTGAATGGAAATTTTTCATGTCATATACCTAAAGCACCTGAGCCTTCGTGTAAAGTTCTTTGCAGCATCTCACCTCCTGAGTGTTCTAAAGATACAGAAGCAAGTGAATGCTGGGAGAATGCAAACAATGGACAAATTACATTTTGGAGCTACTTGGTGGTAAGTATTATTCTTGTAGATACAAAAATATTGGATGTTAACGTAAATGTTATCTTTAATACTGTAATGTTAATTCTAATTTTAATATTTTCTCCCAGGTTCGTTCCATTGCTGACATTTTTCCAACAACAGCAGTGGGATTGCTTGATGCTGCTATTGTTATAGCTACTTGTGAAACAAATCTTGGTCATGGTGATGTTGGGCGTGAATTAGTATTTGGATCACTCGGATTTGCAATATTTGCTCCCGTAGTGGGCTATTTAAATTCACTCGACATAAACAATGACCTTCAGATTCCATACATGTTCTCATTTATTACCTTTGCTATCCTAATGGTTATTTCAACACTAATACTTCTCATTAGTAGCTCTATGCCTCTAAGTAGGCCTGAGTGGTGGACAAGACATGCTCGAGTAATGCCTCTTGGAGGAATCAAGAGGCATTTAAGTGAATTGGTGTGTTTGGTTGTCATACTTGTTATTCTAGGAATCTTATGGAGTGGTATTGATTCTTTTCTTCCTTGGTGAGTTGTTTTCTTTTCTATCTTTTTTCATAATGATTGTACTTTCTTTTATAATGATTTGTTTACTAAAAGGGAAATATTTTCAGGCATCTCAATGAAATGAATGATATGAAAGACAATACAGACTCTCTTCACCTGAATGTTTTGTTGGGTCTTACTCTGACTGTTGGATCCCTGCCTGCAATCCTACTTTTATGGAATTCTGAAAAAGTAGTTGAATTTTGTGGACACACAAATCTTTTAATAATTGCATTTATTTTCTACATAGTTCGATATGCAGGTAATGATTTTCAATTTTCTACTTGGTGCACTTACACATCATCTTGTAATAAAATATCTCATACTAAGTTATACTAGATGACAAAATTTCACTGAGTTTTTGTTCAATTTTGGAATGTCTGAATTGTTCTTTAATTTTGTGATCCTGATTGTGATTATAAATATGATTTTCTTTGAGTATCAGTATTGGTTAATTTTTAAATGGTTTGAAAAAATGCAAAACTATTGAAGAACAAAAGTTTTGATACAACAATCTAGGCATAAAAAATGTGCATCAGAATGACTTTTCCTTAGATACTATATTTTTATGAACTATGAACTATGAGATAAGCCTTACTCTCCCATTAATATTGTACAGTACAACATATAGCATATCCCAATGACCTTGGTGACACCTCTCCAGATAGTGAATGTGCAGATAAAACTGTTCACCATGTCTCTTGTGCAAATTTCCAAAATTCAATCTAAAAAATTTAATATGAGGGAATACATTTTGACAGAGTCTATGCCTATGGTACCTTTTCCCACCGTAACTAAGCCCATGGTAACTTTAGATCAAGTTCTCAGTTAATTCATGGAAATTTTCTTTTCTTTTATACCTAAAAGCTATTTACTGACATTCTAAAAGATCTTGAAACATTACACTCTCCAATCATCATGAAAGTCTACAAATCTTGTAGTAAAATCACTAATCTGATACACAGTAAGAATTCTGCTCTTTACTTTTGCTTCAAGTCACTTGACTTTCTCTGGTGAGATACTCAGCACTACTTCATAAAGTTCTGATAATTTTTGCTTCATAGAGAATCCTTATGATCATAAATATAATGAAGGCTAGTTCATGGGACTTGGTCAGTGAAAAGAATTAAAACTCTGTACTTGTTTGCCAACATTTCAGAAAATACATTTCCATCATCAATTTACAAGACCAAATAAGCTACAATAACAAAGTGTTGATTAACCACTTATACCTACTCTTCTACATATAATTACTTAAAAAAATGGAAAGAAATAATAAAATATAATATAATAGTGTCAATACCTTGCAAACACATTGATGTTCATTGGTATTGTGTTCTGTTACAAATATTCCTCATGTACGTCACCTGTGATAAATAAATTTCTTCAAAGAACTATTAAAATACATTTTTTACTCAGTAACATGGTCACAACATTGATTTCTTCACAATCGCGGAATATATTTCTGAGTGTAATTGCATCCAATAAGGTGACAATCATGTGTGATGTACCACCTGCAAGAATATGGAGCTCTGTTTCCTTGTTTTTTTGTGAAATTCTATTTTAGTATTTCTTTGCATGTTTTGTACAGTAATTATATGTTGTGAAGAAGGCTTAATTTGTTAATCCACACATTATTGTTGCTTTTTTGATCTTGTTCATTATAGCCCTGATGATGGAAATGTATTTTCCAAAACATTGGCAAACATGCACAGAGTCCAATATTTCCACTGATCAAGCCCCATGAATCAGCCTTGATAATTTATATTAATAAAGAATTTCAAATTTGAAATGAAATGGGGTAGAAGTTCAATGCCAATAATTGTTGACCATTATTTTCCAGTGTAATGCTAACCATCTGCCATACTAACCCATAGGCAGAGGGAGGAAATAGCTTACTTTTTAAGGTAGACTAGTTGGATAGAACTACCACATGACACAAGGAGCCAATGAAACATTTTGTTGTCCAACTGTTACACTGAAATAATCTTGATGGAATTTTGTTCAGTACTCAATTTTATATTCCATAGTACTAGTTTCATTCTGAAATAATGTCCAAAAACATAACTGATTGTGCAGTCCTATTTATAACCATTTGATACTTACATTCCTGTAATTTAAAAGACAACTCTGTCGTGGATGGATGGTTATGTGTTTATACATTAAAGTCTTTTAGTTCAAATAAAATTCAATCAAATTTCTAATCAGATTCTTCACAATTAAAACATCGTATGCTATTCTCTAATATACCTAAGTTTGCAGTTTCTGTACAATGATATAATGTAGACTGCTATCTACAAATTACTTCTAGAATAATTTGGCACAAAAAGCCATTTAATATAATTGATGTAAAAAGTTATTAGGGAATGCATTGTATCAAAAATTTAATTTGTAATGTTCTGTAATAATTGCAACAAATAAATGATTAAATGAAAACATGATTACATCATTAATATAAAAAATAGATTTTTTTGTAATTAATATTCTGATAGACAATACAAATTCTTTTACAACTGTATTTTTTAAATGTTAGAGTTATTATATAAAATTGATCTACTTCAAACTCAAATCATATTTGATAAAATATTTGTTTCAGCTTACTCATACATGCAAGTTGCATGGTGGGCATTGGCCAGTGAAGCTCTGGAAGTGTTCACAATGAGTATCATGTGGGTGACAGTGATTTTGTATATGCGGCAACTTGTTCCTCGGCACCTTACAGTCACATCTCAAGGCATGGCGGTATTTTTTCATTTCTGCCTTGGTAAGAAAAGTTTTTAAGAAACAAATGATTTGCAAATATTATCATTTTAAATCTGAAAATATTCACATTCAATCTCTATTTATGTTTAGGACGATGTTTTGGTTCTGTCTTTGCTGCTTTGTTAAGCACATACACTAGCAAGGGTAATGGATCATTTGTACCTGTGTATCAAGTTGGAGCTCTTCTTTCAGCAATAGTTGCATCAATATATTTTACTGTGTATCATTGTTGCCTGAAGTGGTTTTGCCAGCCTGTAGCTGGGCAAACTTCTCAAGATCATCAAGAAATTTCCCAAGGTAAAAAGTATTTCTTTTGTTGATGTTTTGACCCATTACTCATCATTGTTCCAAAATTGAGATTCAAAGTAAAAATGGAATATTTCTGTACTTATTCAAAATTTTGATTTATAAATTATTTGTGTGATATCTCATGACTCTACTTAACAAGATTCTTTGTTTAGAACTTTTTACAAGTTAATGACATTGCAAAAGAATTTTCAGTTTGATCAATTTGAGTAAGGTTGTTGGTGTGTTCAGTTCAATTTCCATGGATATTGTGTAAAAAGACTTCTATGAAAGGACTGACTACAAAATTATAAATGAATTGCTGATGTGACTAGCCAAATTCCTTCACTACACTCTGTGAAATCATGAAGGTTAAGCAAATTCAAGACCTTGTTTGCTCCTGGTAGGGTGGCTGCTTACGAACCCTTGTATCTAATGGTTCTGAGTCCCTGAACGAAGGGATAAAGGCACTGACTGAATACAACGTGCCAAGACTTCACAAAAATAATAACGGAGGATTACTCCATGCGAGGTGCTCAATACTCACCAAGGGTTTAGAGATCATTGTGTTGACGAAAACTCAACAAGAAAAAAAATGGTTTCCTTCTCGTCACCTTCTTCTCCTCCCTCCCCTTCTACTCTTCTCCTCTCCACCCCTGCATTGCATTTCCTCTTTCCCTCCCCTTCCTCTTCCCCCACTGTCTCCCCATTTTTGCAATGTTTAACCTAACAATAAAAATGACTAAATTTTGTACTATTGTCCCAAATGGATGTCTAAATTTTCCTGTTTAGAAAATATTATTTTAAGATTTTTTCACATGAATATTAGTAGTTAGCATAAATTATTCTACAAAACCAAAAATAATACAAATATCATTATTACATTAATTTTGGCTGGTAATGGGTTAACTTTGATTTTTATTGATCATTCATATTGGATGAAAAATATTTGATTTCACATTTATTGTGCATTAATTAGTAGCAGCATATGTAGATTCATTGCTGTGGAATGCTTTTAAATGTATTAACATAGGCTATGTTGCAGGCCCAACATCAAATGGAACGTATGCACCATTACGGATTTATCACAATGGAAGTGGACAAAAGGAACAGGTCAGCTATTAGTTCATCCTATGAAGATAAATTCCTGATAATGAAGTGCAAAGTCGAAAACATGATTACATTTTTAGTACAGTGCATTTTTAATGAAAAAATGTTAATCTATTTTCACATGTTCTTCTCTAAATTGTTCAATTTGTGTTATATTTTTTTGTTCATTTTTACTATATTGTAATAATTACAATTGTGTCATTTTGTTTACTATCTGGCAGTTGATAAAACTTCCTGAGATTTGTACAGAAATTGGGCTCTACTTTTATGGAGAAAGCTGGCCTAACAAATAGTCATGTGTATATCTTTTACTTTCAGTCATGTATTTTAACCATAGATTGCCAGACTCCAACATATGCATGTTATTGAGAGAAGTGTCATGTTGACGAACGCTTTTTTTTTACCAAGTCAGAAGTAAATATTCATCTTTTTTAATCATTCTTTTAAGGAAAATTTAATAGTTAAGAAATGTGTTAATCATTTGGAAACTTCACAAAACATCACACAAAACTTTTTTAAGTTATCTTGCCTCATCTTTAAGAAAAATATTATTATAATGGGTTTTCTTAGTAATCAGTAATTGCTTTTTATCAAAACTATATTTTTCCATTCACTGAACTTTAAGAAAAGATGAATATTTATTTCTGTTCAGTAACCACTTTAAAACTTTTTTTTATAATAATATTGTACGAGAAAATAACATTTTTTAAATTAATTTTGAAACTTTTGTTCCTAATTTCTTAATAAATTTTGAGGCATGAATTTAAATACCAGAAAGTTAAAATTTTTATAATGTTCAACATAAATGCATTCTCTATTTTTAGAACACTATTCCCTTGTAATTTTTAACTGCAATAATATTAATGTAATCTTTTAAAAAAAAAGTTTTGTTAAAGAGTTTGCAGGGTTACATATAATATAATGATTTAAATTCCCTGATGAATAAATGACATATAGTTTTAATTCCCTTTATAATTATAAGAAAGTCATAGTGTTTCAAAAATATATACAGGTGTTTAAGAAAAAAGTGCTCAATCACAGAATAGATGTACAGAAGGGAAGTGCTTTTAACCAATGAACCTTCGGTCTACATGGTAATGGTTTATGATAATCTGTAAAAAATACCCATTGGTCACCCTGCAATGTCAGAATACCAAAACATATACAGGTTGCGGATGATTACTATTTCAGGCTGAAAGCAGTAAGATTGAACATGTTCTTTGGAATTGGATTCCCAAAGAGAAACATAAATTAAGAGAAGGGAACTAAGGTTCTGGAAAATAAATCATGGTTTGAACATTAAATTGTATTGTTTGTTTTAATTTAACAGGCAACAATTCAATTATTCTTATAAGAATTTTAAAGTTCAACATTTAAGTCATAATTGAATCATAATTTTTCAGTACCTGTGTGCCCTTCTTTTCTTAAAATGATGACTTTCACTGCATTGATAATGGTTATAACATCTGTCCTTCTGCTCTCAAATGAAAATAGTGACCACCTGTGTGACTTAAGTGCACGTGGGTGTCCTAATGCTGCAGGGAGATACAGTCTAATGCTAAGTTCCAGGCTTTTAGACGCAGAGTTCTTTGGTTGAAACTACTTCCCTTGACCCTCTCTTCCTATGTTATTCCTGAATTTGTACACATTTTTATGAAATACCTTTTACGCATTGCCATTAAATTTCCTTGTAGAAGATGAAAATTCACTTGTGATTAAGCCCAAATATGAGGTCATCATGGGGCTATCAGTGGCTAAACTACTGACAAGACTGACACTAAAACCACAGATGTGAGTGATAGGGGATTCATAGTAGTAATGGGGAAATTGTAGCATATATCCAGCAATGGATGGGTGAAAAAATGTAAAAAAAATTCGGTGGATTGGGTCTGTGAAAACTGGATTAACTAGCAACAATTACATCACAAGTATTGTGTTTATTTCATTATTAGATGGTTGCATTACAGTAGTAGACCATATGTTATAGAAGGAAGTATTTGTGTTAATATATTGTGTAATTATTCTTTTTATCTAAAAATATTTCTTAAATTTATGAAGGAAGCACAATGAGGCTTTTCAACACTATACTTTTTCACAAATTATTCAACATTTATTACTATTGGTAATTTATATTTCACCTATTTGTTTAATTGGGCTACTGCATTATAACATTACAATATGTTTTGGAACATTTTCCTTATTTTACACAAGAATATGTCCCATCTCAATCGCAATTACACCAATGGATGGATTGGCTCTCAGAGACCAAACACAAAACAAGTTACACGTAAAACATCTATACAACTTCCACAACAATATCTGGTGCACCAAACTTTACATTTGCAGATGAAAGAAAGGTAGAGGGCAGAAGAGGTAACTTGTGCCATTTGTATGTCACTAGCAGATGTATTTGTTATTTCGTAGGTCTCACAGACCCAACACATCTTTTGCTGGGTTAAGTTGGAATATGGTATCTGGCAATCTAAGATTAATATAGTAAATGCTTGTGATTGTTTAGTTTTCTACATTATGCATAGAGAGTAAAACCTTCTGTAGTAGCAAAGTATAAAATTGATGCTCTCTATCTGAAAATCACCTTTGATCTCAATTAAATCCTTGATTTCACAAATATTATTAATCATCATCATTGTCCATTCGTGAATTTCCATTTGAAAATTAAAAGCAGAGTGTGAAAAGGAGTTACAGCATATGTGGTACATGATAGTTCATAAGGAACTACATAAGTGGCAAAGCATAATGTAATTTTTAAGATTGCACCTATATAAATTAACTCCTAGCTACTTATTTAATTTATGGGTTGCACGTATGTGTATAAAAGACTTTCTTAATATATAATGTTTTGTATATATCTGGTTTATTGTGAAAAATGACCGTCATTTTCAAAAAATTGTCTAAAAGAGGATAATATCTGAAATTGTAGAAAAGGATACTACGTTTACATTATTAAAAAGTTATTTTTTGTTCATAAGTTCACAAAAAAAGTGATTTAGAGTAATCATTAAGTCTAAAATAAATTGTTTTCTAACAATTGGACTGTAGGAACATATTTTACAGTAAATCCAGAAATAAACGTATGTAATTGAGAGAAATTTTATTATTTCACTTCTAGAAACTATAAGAATTTGAGAATTTCTTAATATAAGTTTTTGCTATTTTTCTTTTTCTTTGTAATACTATTTCTGTGCTGTGATTCTGAGAAAAATGTTGCTGATGCTTGTGAGAAATTCAAGTTGTAAAGATTATTATCTATTTTTACTATCACCTACATTTATTTTGTGTAAAAATATGTCAATAAATATTTAAATTTTGATACATCTGTATTATTTCTGTGCAATTTTAATCTTTAAACCTTGGAAATTGCAATGTTCCCATTAAAGCTAATTTCTTCTATGCAATCTGTTTCTACATCACACAGGCGTACACACTTGCATTCACAGACACATGAAGCACCACTTTGTAATTTTTAACTGAGTGGTTAAACACCAATTTAACCATAATGTGGTAAAATTTAATGTGATATTTTCTGTGCGCAAGAAATTGCATAAGAATTAGGCACAGAAGAATAAATAACACATTTAACTAGTAGTGTTCCAACAGCACATACTTTCTCACATTATTTGTAACTGCTCTGCTCCACGATATTATACTAATTGGGTCATCCTTAATGAGAAGTATCTTCCCAGAAATTCTCAAAATAGTAAAAGTTAACCCACTATTCATTAAAAGGCAACACCCATGATTTCATGAATTACAAACAAATATCCTTACTATCTGGATTCTCAAAAAATCTAGAAAACTCTTTTAATGATAGACTCAAAAATGTTCTCAATTCAAATAACATATTGACAGAGGAACAACTTGGATTCAGAAATGGCAGATCTACAGACACAGCTATCTTCACCTTTCTAAATGACATACTTATTGCTCTAGATTAAAAAAATAATCACCATTGGTTTATTTCTAGGTTTATCAAAAGCATTCGACATTATTGACTATCACATACTGTTATCCAAACTTGAAACTTTGGGAATGATAGACATTGCACATTTATGGGTTACATTTTTACCTTTCAAATCTTTAAGTAGTCACAATCAAGCATGTTAGAGATAAAAAGATTTCTACCCATTTTTGCCAACCTATTATGGAGTGCCACAAGGATCAATCCTAGTCCCAATACTATTTCTGTTATACATCAATGACATGCCACTGACCCTACAAAAGAGCAAAATGGTTGCATTTGCAGATGACACAAACATTATTATTAAAGCAAATGCCCAACAAACTCTAAAAAAAGAAGCACAAACAGTTCTAGAGGCACTAGTAAAATGGTTCCAGGAAAGTAAACTCATCATAAACATCATTAAAACTGTATCCCTAAACTTTCGGAATCCATTCTCTAAAGAACAGCCTCCAGCACAATTGATGATAAAAAACTTGCCTGTAAAAATAGCCCAAAAAACACCCTTCCTTGGATTGACTAGTCAATATGATCTGATGTGGAACTCCCATATCACAAATCTAAACAACAAGCTTACCAAGTCATGTTATGCCTTATACATCCTTAAATCAAATTCTAACTTAGATACACTGCAAATGGTGTACTTTGCAAATATTCACTCACACCTAAAATACAAAATAACATTTCTGGTGAAATTCCCCAGAAGGAATTCACACTTTCATCTTCCAAAAATGAATATTGAGAACAATGACAAACACTCACAAACATGAGTCCTGCAAACCACTGTTCAAAACAGAATACAAATCCTACCACTCTCGTGCATGTACATATTTGAAATATTAATCTTCACAAAGAAGACACTTATGGGAAACAAGGATTCAGTTTCTCTGAACTAAGAAGTTCATAACTATGATTCTAAACAAACACGAAATCTGCATGTCACACACAGTGAAACTTCACTCTTTCAAAAAAGTACCCTTATAGAAGGCATTACACTATGAAACAAGCTCCCCAGTGAATTTCAAAGCTTAAACTTGATTCACACATTCAAAAATAAACTGAAAGCTTTCCTGTTATACCATTCATTCTACAGTACAAGAGAATACATACATCATAAACATGTATCTACATGAATATAAACTAGTAGTAATAACTTTTTCATTTTTTGTTGCATGTTTTGAAGCCCCTCTCTCTCTTTTTTCTTTCTTTTTTTCTTTATTATTATTGTCTTTTAATTTTAGTCTTCTTACACTACCATGTATAAAATTAATTAGCATTCCATTCTACTGTATTAGTATGAGAATTGAAATGAATTTTAATTAATAATTAAAATTATTCTTCGCGTTCTGTACTAATTTATTGATGGTAGTTTGTATTTTGAATTTGATAATTGCCGGTGATTTGGACGAATAAAATATAGCAATGCCATCTACATACATGCATTTTCCAATTGATTCTTCTTTGCTGACAAACATCTCTTTGATCGCTACGATAAAGAGCGTACTACTCAATGGAGAGCCTTGCGGTACACCATTCTTTAGTACGTAACTTTCTGAGATTGGCTGCCCAACGCGAACTTAGAAAGATCTGGTACTAAAGAAGCTGGATATGTATTTTGGTAGATTTTCTCATATTTGCCAGTTATATAACTGACTCAGCATGTTATATCACCAGGTCTTGTCAAAAGCTTTTTCCAGGTCAAAGAATACGGCAACCATATGTTTTCTTTTGATCAACGTATTCTGAATTGCGGTTTCCAGATATATTAGCCGATCGATTATAGAGTGATGTCTGTATCCGCACTGATGTATCTTTAAGAGATTGTTTCTTTCGAGACACCATATTAGTCGGGTGTTGACAATTTTTTCCAAGATTTTTTGGAGACAGCACGTCAACGATACAGGGCGATCATTTTCAGGTTTCAATGGATCCTTGTCAGTCTATAGAAGTGGAATTACTATCGCTTCTTTCCAGACTTTCGGGTAATTATTTTGTGTTCAAATGTTGTCATATAATTAACAAAGTGAACAGTATTTCTTTCGGTAACCGACGTAGTATGCTATAGAGGATATTATCTGATCCTTCTCCGGTGTCTTCAGCTGCATTTATGGCGTCTTGTAATTCCATGTGAAAAGAGCGTTATATGGCTTATCTGTATCAGTTGTTAAGTCTAGTACTTCTTCTTCTTTCTTTTTCTCGAGAAAGGCTTTAGGGTAGCTGTTTGTGTTACTGGCTATTGATTATTACTGGTGTTATTGAGTCGCTAAGGCGTTGGCTATTTCGTAAGGGTTGTAGATTAGTTGCCCTTCGTAATCTGTGCATGTGATAGGACTGAAAACATTTTCCCTTGCTATTAACCTGATTTTCTGCCATATTTCCGTGACTTTGGTCGTCTGAGTTATGGTTGTTACGTACTTTTCCCAGCTTGATCGTTTTGCTGTTAGTATTTTTCCGCTAGCGAGTGCACACAGACGCTTGAAAGTAATATGATTGTCTTGAGTTGGTGTACACCTATACCTATTGAGGGCTCTTATTTTCTCCCTTATTCCTTCTTTGGCTTCCGTATTCTACAATGGAACTGGACTCCTAGATGAGCGGCCTCTAGTCTGGGGAATGCGTTTTACAGCAGAATATATTATAGCGTTGGTGAAATCTGTACCGTCTTTCTTTGTGTTTCAACGGATAATTATTGGTGGTATATATGTCTGGTGAAGATAGACCAGTCTGCTCGGTTGGTACACCAACTTTTCGGTAAATATTCTGCATTCTTTGGTATGTTTGATGATATCAACAGAGGAAAGTGATAACTCTGATGAAGATCTGACAGTGGTTTTCTCGTCAACCGTATTGCAGGATTTGGACTACATATTTAAAGATCTATGTTCAAGAATGAGCTATTTCTAGCGTTAAAATGAGTGCTTGAATCTGTGTTTAAAAGAGCGTATTCGTTGTTAAGTAGCAGGTCATCGATTCTGCAATCGGAGAAATTTGTTCTAGAACAGACCCATGTAGTACTGTGAGCATTGAATTCGTTTAAAATAAGAAATGGAAGCTGTACTTGATCGATCAGGTCTTCTAGGTCTTCGTTTTGCTATGAGACGTCGGGTAAGTGTATGCAACATACCGTCATCTTCAATGGCTTGTATAAGGTTACAGCTACTGCTTGTAGAGGTGTGTTGAGATGGAGACAACTAGCTGGATGTGTATTGCTAATCAATATGGCAACACCACCTCTAGCTCGAGTTCTGCGAGGAGAGAAATACATACGAGGAGAGAAATTAAAGAAAAAATTGGGATCGTTTTTAAGAAAAGAATTGTTTAAAAATGACCTGTATTTCTCGCAAAATTACGCGAACGCCCTTCATACTTTCGAAAAATTATACACAACCTTGTTTCAAGATCTATCTTTAAAGAACATATTTTATTAAGGAAAATATCTCTCTGTTCAATATTGTAATTGCAGGAAGACTCCGAACAAAATAGTTAACTTTTTCAAAGTTCGAAAAACTAGGGATTTCAATGAAAATGAGACATGCACCATTCTTTTCAGCGTCCTTTACGGTATACGAGGACAATATTTAATCCAATTTTTAGCCATTTTTGAGGAAATTTTATGAATGTAGTTGAGGCTTGTTGTAAAGTACCCCCAAAATCAAAATATACATTTCAAACTCGGGGTCTGAAGTTCTTTTAAAGCGATATAACAGTTTTGGAGAAAATCGGTTGAATGGTGTTGGCACTAGCATAGACCGACGTTTTGCCGTCAATCGATTTTTCGGTAAGAAGGATCCCCAAATCATAGATTCCGACTACACATGTTAGAGGACGTAATTTACTATATAATACAGGAGTATATATATAATCAACATTTATGCACTTTTTTGTTACCAGGGCTCTGCAATAAGAAAATTCACCATTTTCCGACGCACGATTTACTTTACAATACTTTCTCTTCTTACAAAGTAAGAGCGAAAAGTAGGCCTTGGCATGAGGAGAGCCAAACAAAACACATTGAATTTTAAATTTTCTGAAATAAACATTTCAAATTTTCTGATGAGTACATTCCATCTGAGCGATCAATTTCCTTAAGTGATCGGTACTGCTCCATCTCCCCAATTAGCAGGAGATAAACATCAGCTTCAAAGTAACGCACTTAGTGCATTTGCTACACTTATGAATATACTTTATATAAGCAACTTAAAATAAATAATAATAGTGGACTGAACATCGCAAATTAATTAAGATAAGTGAAGCGAACTAAGAATGGCGGACTTACGAAAATAAACAAGAAAGAGCGAATAGAATAATGGTTAGAAATCTCCCTTGTTTGTTGTAAGCTTAACAAGTAAAGTGAGT